GCGATGGCCTCTTCCACGTGCTGAGAGTGATTTTTTTCCTGACAAGGTCTTGGATGTGTTTAGTCTGTACCTCCAGTGGATTTTTAACCTCTCTCCTTAGCTCTAAAATGAGACACAGCCACTTTGTCTTGAGGCTGTTTTTGTCCTGCTTCATTTGATATTGGGAGTACATTATCATTCCCACAATGCACTCCAACCTTCTCTGTGGCTGCAGGGTGCCACAAACAGGGAAAGTACAGACAGATGATCCATATGAGGATCTAATTTCTGTGGCTTTGACTCCAGTGAATTGAACTAATTTTGTATGACATAGTTATTTTTGCACACTGTTAGAATATGCACATAAGTACAGTAGATGTGCAGAATAACATAATGTCCAACTTTATGACTTTGAAAAGTGAAACAACAACGTATTTGTAGAACTTTTGCCCCATTTAACCCTAGCCCCATGCCATTGTAAAGTACTAAGACAGTGGAGTTCACTTAATGCAGCAATATAAAGTTTGATTTGAGGATCTTAGTCCATGACTGTTGATCTTACTGAATAGTGATAATCTATGTGTACATCATTTTATTTTTAAGATTTGAAATCTCAATATTGATCTTAAAAGATAATTAAAGAAACAAGTGCGCACTCTTTCATATTGAATTACACTACAGTAGTTTGAGCCACCCCCTAAAGGCTGTTTAAAGACAACTCATAATCAGAAATACAGAATCTGGTGGTCATGATCTAACAACATTTAATGTATAATTGTCTGGGGAAACACTTATAACAAGATTTAAAAGTCTTTGCCATTTGCATTATATGTTGAGGGGTTGGAGCCAAGTAGACTTCTGCTTTGTCCTACACTTTTTCAGACGGTGAATTTCTATTTATTTTGTGTCCTGTTTGTTGGTTTTTGTTGAAAGTGCAACGTATAAAGAAATAAAATGTGTGTAACATTTGACTTTATATTGTTTAAGTATATATATTTGCAACAATGTTGTGGATGACTAGTCAATATTGCCCGTCGCTGTACTCTTATTTTTTTTAAACTGCAGAGTTGTATCATTTGTATGTGATCTTGTTTCTCAATTTGGGCATTTTGGAAAACTTTAAGTCAAAATGCTGAAACAATAGCAAAGATCTAAGCCGCAGACAGCTGAAGTGCAGTTCTTTTTGAGGAGAGCCTTGGGACCTCTTCCATGTTGTTGCCCCATCGAGAGAGGCTTTTTCAGGGTTGACTTCAACAGGACTGGTATTGATTCTCTGTTTGGGGCTGTAGTGGTGTCTGTGTCTGTTTTTCACTGGTCGGATGAGGACAAGACAGAAGAGGCTCCGCTTTTTGTCTTTTAGTTTGAGATCCTTTCACTGGACAAAGCAGGGGGCAGAGCCTGGTGGTCCCCTACTCCAATGTTCGACATGTGTAGACACAGCACAATTTATGCCTCTGATGTAACATTGTTGGTGCTACATTGTTTTTATAAATACTATTGTATTTTCTCTTTAGATCGTGCACATGCAGTTTTGGTTTTAATGATTCATAATGAAGTATTATGCAAAAACAACTTTTTAACCATATTCAATTTTTCATCTCCTCAAAAACAGACCTGGAGTTATTTGTAGCTCTACCTATGCTAATATCTGGAACTGACAGCACAAACATGTAACTTTGCTCCTTCTATCTATAAGTTCTTGTCTCAGTCCTGTAGTATGATGTAATTCTACTTCTATAACATTACACCTGCTGCTACTTTGTCTTACTTTCTTTTTTTCTTGCTCTATCTTGCCTCAAGTGTAGAAATCGATGCTCTTCAATCTAAAAATGTTCCCTTTAACCTCAATAGAAAGCATCTTTTTGAGCTTTGAAATAACATTGTGCGGAGTGTCAGTGGCCTGGTGCCCCTGAGGTTATTTATGAGGTCGTTGCCTCTGACAGCGACTGGTGGAGCACTTTTACTGGCGGCACATGGCAGGAGCCCCACACATCCCCCTGGAACATGTACAGTTAACTATAAGAACAGGATTGTGTCGTTACACTGCATCTCAGTTGGCCAAATGTAAAACTGGTGGAGAGTGCATTCATTCATAAATATCCTGACACAGTCGTGACCCTGCGTCTTAGGGATATGTTCACTGTTTGTTTATTTCACCACATGAAGCCGGAACAACCTGTTTTTATCCTTTTGTGAGCAATGAAAGGACTTTTACAATGTGTTTTTTTTGTGACCATCCACACAGCCCAATATTTTGTTGCTTAACTTACTATTACTATACAATACTTATACTATTTTGGCACAAACCGGGATGGATAATCTTGTCATGACACACAACATATAGACCCAACATCATACAGGAACACTGCAAAAAGTACACGCAATCAATAATTGAACACATTGGGAGTAACATGTTGTCTTTGCAGATTCCACATTATTGCAGTTTTTGCACTGTATTGGTTTGTTTGCATTGTCCTATATGAACAGTTGAGTTTTGCATCAGTTTAGTGAAGATTTTATCACTCCCTGAGAAACTAACATCTCCAGTCAGATTCACACAGGGCTCAAAATCACAAATGACCGTTTGAGGCTGCTTTCACAAGTCTCGAGTCTCTTACAGCAACTTTCAACTTCATCCAACTCAAACCTGTTCCCACCATTTTCTAAACCCAAAGTACACACAGGTCAGTAGGCTCACACATGGAGGTATGTTGAAAATACTCTTTGATCCTGGTGCTTTGGCCTCACTGGGTTGTGGACTTACCCACCTGTGGACTCTGGGGCCTGGCCAGAGTCTGGAGATGTAGGGGGGGTGAGGAGCTCTTGCTGATCCCAGGTTTGTGTTATCGTTCTGGGGGAAAATGTGCTGCGTCTCAGCCCTTGTCCCGATCAGGTTGCCACTCTGCTCAAGGATATTTTTCTGTTTCCAATTAGGTCAGTTTCTCAGGAATATTCTTTCCCTATACTAAGATGTAAATGCTGATAACTGGTGGCACATAATTCATACAATGAGTGTATCTAAAAATGTCAGCAATTAGTTCTAAATGAATGTTTCCCTGCCCTCCCTTGGTCCTTCTTTTTAAATTACTTTTCGCAGTATGGACTTAACAAGTTTATACCTAGTGTGCACTTGTATTTAGTCGTAATTTCAAGACATTTTATGAATGTATAGTTTGTGATTCCCTTTTACTCACAATGGCAAAAACAATAATTTTGACTCTGATTCTGATAATGCACAACAGTTTTTTGTTTTTTTTCGTGAATTACTTATGTGTTTTTTATGTAATTAATTATGTAAGAAAAATAGGGTCCCATGATTGGATATCCATTGGGCAGATCTTCATTGATAAATAGACAAAGGTGAGAATTGGTGGACTCTGGGAACACCCATATAGTTTACTGCAACAGAAATAGAGAATATGTGCATCAGCTGTCTCTCCCTAATATGATCCTCAATGTTATCGGAGATAGTTTCTTTGATCACGTTTTTCATACAAACTATTGTTAGTCTATGTAATGAAGTTGCCCGTTACTTGAGTCCCATTTTAGGAAAAGTTTATGAGTCAGACAGGCAATCCAAGGTGCATGAAAATATTGTAAATTATTGTAAACGATTTGTATTAGGGCTTGAACAATCATAATTTTCAACTTTTTTCTATCTAATTGACAACATTAAAACTGAGAGACACATCATTGCCCCCTAAACAGCAATGTTTGGTTAAAATAGGACACATTTATTTAAAAGGTCGGTAGAGACTATAGTCATTTTGGGTTGACTAAAGTGAAACATGCAGTTTCCTTTGGTTAAGGATGCACTTTGTATTGCAATTAGATTTACATAATTTATATCAGACTGTTTCAGGAGGAGTTATACGTTTGTGAATATTCAACAATATGAAGAATACAAGATTCCCATACATTTTAGAAGCAAGTTTATAGGTATTTTTGGTTAACAATGAAAATAAAGATTTTAGTTGCTAGAGTTTGTTTTACTGTCATGTTTATACACTGCCTTATTGAGCTTTTGCTGCTAATAATCCCGAGTGTTTGTCTATGAAGCGCTAAAGCAGAGCAGAAAAACACTGGGGCTCTTGATTGTTTTGAATGGGACTCTCCTCTATCCCCCGTCTCACCACAAGCTTTTAGTTGCTAGAGTTTGTTTTCCTGGCCCAGTCCACTCTGCTCCGATCGTCTTTAGTCAAGTCTCCCATACGCCTTTCTGAGCCGTTGTTTACTTTGAGAATTAGCTGACCTCCCCGTTCTGCAGCCAAGCACAGGAGCAGGAAGCATCTCTCCTTCCTCAACCCTGGGTCTGTGCCAGTGTATTGTAATGGGGCAGACTTGCAGGAATAATAGACATCAAGGTCATTGGGTTGAACTTTTAAAAACCCAATCTGTCTTCTTGTGACTGCCGTTTGTGACCCGCTGTTGTTGTATTCTCTGTTTGGATGCATCTCATCTCCTGCCACATCTAAAACTAGCACAGTCTGTCAGTAAATAATATTGTTCATCCTGGTAGAAAATCTTGGAACATTGTCACTGAGACCCCACTTGATTAAAAATAATTTATTGACCTAGGATATACAACAATAAGTCATTTTGTCATGATTGCCAAAATAAACCCACTATTATAACTTTCTATTGTGTACTCATTGCAACAGGGTAGAACAACTGTAGCTACTCAACCCACAATCAGCGTCATTGATTATGTACATGCACAGTTTAAGATAAATGTAAAAACCAGGTGTTTTTCTTGGGTGAAAAGCAACATTGGGGGTATCAAGCTCAGTATGTGGGGAATGTATCACAGGTATGCCAAGTAAAGGTTTTGAAATCTTCAACTTTCAAGGGGTAACTACAAATCCCTGTAGTGGGCTGATGAGGTTGAAACTGCAGTATTTTTATTTAGACAGGTAACCTTAATCCGCCGTGCCATTGTCATCCTTATGCCTGTGTGTCAACCACATGTACACAATGATTCATGGATATTTTGATTGAGGGTGTGTCTCTTTGTTCGGCAGGTGTTCCAGGAGCTGGGCGTGCCTGTGCTCTCCGCCGCCTCTGAAGGTTATAACGTGTGTCTGTTTGCTTACGGCCAAACGGGATCAGGAAAGACCTACACGATGATGGGCACACCGGTGAGACAAACAAGTGCAGAGTGGACACAGGCATCAAGCCCATGTGCTCTTTGTCCGAGAGAAAAGTAGCTCCAAAGATTTTGCTCTAGCTTCTTATCCTTGTGAAGAACCAAACAATGACTTTCAAAACTTACTTTGAGGATATTTGCTGATGGAATGGGAAAGAACCACAGTGCTGAATTTGTATGTTGTCCCATCTGCAGCAGACGTTTGTGGATTATAATATAAACCAATACTGGAAAAATGGTACATGAAATGCCCACAATTTTGACAGAGGTCTGTGTAAAATTGTTTTTGAGTTGTCTGGTAGTTAAACTAAAATAGAGAATATGCAAAACATTCTACTCTATTGCTTTTATTAGAGGATTCTAAACGTTGTGGCCGTTCAAATCAAAATATAATCTAGCCTTTGTACCTCAGAAGTCTATCCTTGTTAACAACAATCTGCGTTTAGCTTCTTTAAATATCTCCAGACACTTGGGGAGGAAATTTGTATTGTTACGCAACTCACTATTAATTCTGCACTGCTGTAGCTTCAATGTAAAGTAATGTACACTGAAAACCATTTACATTTGCCCTAAATTGTACATGACAGCTGTGAAAACTAATAAGAGCCTCTCTGCTTTTTCTTGTTATCCTTTTGACAGGACTCAATTGGCCTGACCCCTCGAATCTGTCAGGTACGTCAGTGGATTATATGTGCTGGCTGAATACTTAAATGGGGAGAGCTTGTTGGAAATTGGATCGGTTCGGTGCTTGTATTGTAGCGTGAAATAAAATTGTTAACTCAATTCCTTCCAGGGACTTTTTCGGTCTGAAGACGCTGTCCCTGATGTACAGAACTCAAGTCGAGTGGAGATAAGGTTTGCCATTACTCCTTAGTTGTCATTTTTGTTCACGCAGTGTCTTGTACAAGAAAATCATTTACAATGAACCAGGTGATAAAACGGATATGGTTCTTGCGTTGATGGTTAATCAAATTTCCATGTTGGTTCCTACAGTTTTTTGGAAATCTATAATGAGCGTGTGCGGGACTTGCTCAGAGGAGGGGAGCAGAAGAAGTCTCTGAGAGTGAGGGAACATCCAGAGAAAGGGCCTTATGTGCAAGGTGAGGACGAGGCAAGGGCAGTCACCATGTTGGACATAATGGTATTGTCAAAAAATTGGAGGACATTGGTTTAAATAACCTCAGTTTGTTGGATGTACAGTATATTATGAATGTTGCTTTTCCAAACTTGCATATATATATGTCCCCCGTTCAAAGCTATTTGTTTTGGACATTGGCTGCTTGTTGTTATTAACTGAATACAATCAAAGTCAAAATAACCAACTGTAAGAACATGCAAATGCTAAATATGCAAAAACATATTAGAAGATTACACAGAATCACAGACCCCTTTGCTGACTTGAACCTGATAATATGAAAATTGTAAAAATTCTATGTTTACCCACACAACAAAGCGAATTGTCAATATATGTAATTAAGATTATTAGACAATTCCAGAACGCTGAACAAGTAGATTCTGGTGACAATGTGTAATTACAGAACAAAATACTAACGATTATCAGTCCAACCAAACCTGTGCTTAGTTTTATTCATCTGACATCTGGATTTTCCCTTGTAAATACTTTGATCGTGTTCAGAATTGTTTCATGAATTCAAATATTTTCCGTCAGCCTCATAACTTTGTGTTGGCTTCTCGCGACTTCCTTTTTCTGCGTTATGTCTCATTTGTGCAACATTTAAAGGGCCACATTCACTCATTGTCCGTATCTGAAGAAATCCCAGCTCACCACAGGAAGTGAGCTCATTTCCTTGCGGTCTCCGTGCAGGACACACAGGCCGTACATGTGGATCTAAGGATCGGCCTTTACTGATAAATGTTTAAATATAGTCTTTTCATCTATTTATAACATGGGCGTCTTTTTTCTCATATTTAGATGTTTTACAACCACAAAACTGGTGTTATTTGTGTAGAAATCCATCACAGTGTTTTTTACTTTTCTTTAGAAAGCAGTCATTTTGAACACTTTACTTATGAATCACAGGTTTGCTCTCAGTCCATGGAGTAAATAGGCAACACAAACAACACATTCAAGGCAATGAACTTAAGCAAATTAACGAATGTACTGTAATAGATGGGCTCGATGTTTTTGCTGAAGGGGAAAAGCTGAAAGGAAAGTAAACAGACCATGCAAACAGGATTACAAGTGCATTGCCGGTCTTTATAAGTGAGCGTAGAGGATATCCTTATTATTAAGTCATGCTCAGAATAGACTTAAATTTAAGCACTGTGTTATCCGTCTGGAATATTGAATGTTTGTATAGATGACGCAGTGTTTCGCTCATTGCACGTCTTCTATTCTGTCCATTAAAGTTTGTTCAACATAACCTCAGTCATTTCAGCAGTAATAAACTTTAATCATTACTTTGATTTACTTTTCCAGATCTGTCCCAGCACGTGGTGTCAAACTGTAAACAGGCCATGGAGCTTTTGGAGGAGGGCATTTCCAACCGGATCACCGCGGCAACACACAACCACGACGCCAGCAGCCGGTCCCATGCCATCTTCAGCATCCAGTACACCCAGGTCTGAACCTTTCATAAGCTTATTCACAATTGATTTAAGGGAGCAATTACTCCATAGCCTGTTGAATTCAATACAACAAAATATAAATAAATGTATATAAAATAAATATTCATACTAAAGCCTACATTCAGGTCATATTGTTATTTTAGTTTGAACAGTTTGTATCTGATGAAGTTGTATATACTGACTTTTAGGACAAACATTTAGTATCTTTTCCCCTTTATTTTTGTATACAGTTATCTTTAGTAAGTAATAAGCCAAATTTGTGTACACAGGCAATTTTGGAGAACAACCTTCCATCAGAAATCGTCAGTAAGATAAACCTGGTGGACTTGGCAGGAAGGTGAGACTATTCCTGCAAATTCTTTTAATCACATTCCCAAGTAAATCACAGCTGCCCTCTAGTGGATTCAGGTCTCATTTAATATTTTGTTGTTTTATTTTTCCTCTCTAATGTGTGTCCTGATAGTGAGAGAGCAGATCCTAACTACTGCAGAGACAGACTGACGGAGGGATCAAACATCAACAAGTCGCTGGTCACTTTAGGGATTGTCATCTCAGCTCTGGGTAAAAAAAACATAATAGGTCAAAAGTAAAATTCCCTCACTGATACATTTACCATCTTCATTATTAAGGACAATTATTATGAATAATATTTCAGTTCTTAGTACTTTGCGCACTGAATAATCATAATTGTTGTTTTACTGAGTAATCGTGAGTCTGTAAAATTGACCCAAAATGCACATAACCGGCTGTTCTTATTCCTATTTCCCCTTTGCAGCCCAGAACTCACAGATGTCCAGCAGCTGCCAAAGCATTAACAGCGTGGTGTCTGAGGGGGAGAGCACGGGGGGCAGTCACAGCAGCGCTCTGTCCGATCGAGGAGGGGGAGGAGGGGGGAGGAGGCACTGCTTCATCCCCTACCGGGACTCAGTCCTCACCTGGCTCCTCAAAGACAGTCTGGGCGGGAACTCCAAAACCATCATGATTGCAAGTGAGTGCGCACAGAGAGAGGATGTTTGAATAAAGATGAAGTGTTCGCAGTGTTTTGTCCAATTTAATTTAATTGAACAAATGCATGTAGACCTGTGCGCTGCGATTGAGGTGTGAAAAGTAATCTGTTTTTATCATAATTGGATTGAACCTCTTCTACTCCACATATACTGGCATGTAACCACGTATGTCGGATACTAGTAAGACAAGACCAGCCGACGCATTTAAGAGCAAAGAAAAGAGCCATAGAAGACCTTGCTAATAATATAAAATATAAGTATTTGGAGTGGACGCATAGAGACTGATAGTGACAAAGTCACCCGCTGCATGTGTTTCTTTGTTTTGGTTTTATTACGAAGGCAAAGGGAAACACGGTGTGTTTAATTGTGCTGTGGAAATGAAAAGACTCATGCTCTTGCAGTTGAGCATGCGTAAAAATCGAAGGGTATTTTCAAGAAGGAATTCAACTCATTTACAGAAAAAATATATATTGTTTGCCTTGGGGCAATTTATGTAGATGAAAAATTACCAGGATAAGCTCCTGGATCAGTTTTTTTATGTAGATCCAGTGTACAGTCATACACAAATCTGTGTTCATGGCCTTGATTGATGTTTACCAACCTTGATTAGTGTTTAAAAATCAAGAAAAATCAGTAAATTTATCTCGGTTAGGCAGCAAAATCTTGAGAACCATTAAAACAATCTGTACCAGAAAAGCCACAGCTATTTGAAGACAGGCTCGACATTTCTTCTCCCAAATCAGTGTTTGAAGCCTCCCCTAAGGACAGCAGTGGAATTATGCATTCAGAAAACATGTCACTCCCAGTCACACTCACGTCGACTGTATACCTCTGTCTACGCCAACGCTAATTAATGTTTACACGTGTCTCTTCGCTTTGTGGCAGCTGTCTCGCCATCCGTCAACAGCTACAATGAGACCCTGAGCACGCTTCGATACGCCGCTCATGCCAGAAACATTGTCAACAAGCCGCGCGTAAATGAGGTCAGTAGCAGTTTTTTGGTTGTGCCAGGATTTTTAATTTTGTAATATATTTTTTTCCACAGTCTCTTGATGTTCAATTTGTGTGCAGGATGCAAATGTTCGACTGATCAGAGAGCTGAGGGAGGAGATTGACAGACTGAAGAGCATGCTGCTTAGCTTTGAAATGGTATCACAACCTTTTAATATTATATACTGCTTTGAATGGAGACCCCCCTGCTGGTCTTTTGAAACACAACTTTCACGTTTTCACAGTCTTTTGTGCAACAGTAGTGTGCATAACTGCAGGGAGCCACAAGTTTCATTGTAAAAATGTGACTTTTCCCATAACTTTTGATGTGTTTTGTTTTTGATTGACAGCAGCGGAATCCCAGTCCGTCCCTGAGTGATGAGAGAGATGGAAATTTGTCTGACATTGTGCTTCAGAACGAACTAAAGGTATAAACAGGTCAATGGAGGCGTTTAGTTCTTATCACAAGCTGACAGTGAAATAACCATAGAAAAATACAGGTCAACAGCTATGGGACCACCTCTACTCATCTAGAAAAAGGTTTTTTATACTATAGTTTGCTGCCTGCTGTGGTCCAGTCCATATTTTAGTTCAACTTTCAAAAGGTTGTGTTCATGTGACATCATAGCATTCCAGAGAGCTGTTAGATTAAAATGTGTCAGAGCAGCTGAGGAATCTGGACCTCTAGTCTCAATTCAGAGCTCTTTGTTTCATATGGATTGGCCCAGGAATTCAGCACATACGGTCCAATTATTAGAAGTGGTGATAATATTCATAATCATATGACGTTTGCCAGTAGAAAATACTATCAGACATAAGAAAAATATGGCTGGTTTGTGAATCTAATCACTAACAAAATGACTTTGTTTCGAGTAGGGCTGAAACAACTAATCGATTAATCGACGACTAATCGATTATTGAAATAGTTGACAACTATTTTAGTAATCGATTAATCGTTTTCTGATTCACACGGACTCAAACAGAGCAAAAATGACATGAAAATGTAGTATTTTTGATTAAAACCGAATTTGTTTTTATAATTTCATGAATATCTGTCTGTCTCATCCAATCAAATAGCGAAAATTAGCACAAAGAGCCTGTTACAAACATTTACTTTAAGTTTACTCCATCAATACGTCCTCGAGTGTTGCCACTTTAGCTTTTTGTGATGAAAAAATATTTTTTTTCTACACAATTCACAGCCAAGCGATTACTCGATTAATCGTAAAAATAATCGGTAGATTAATTGATTGCAAAATAATCGTTAGTTGCAGCTCTAGTTTCGAGGTAAAATTAACATTTTCTTTGATACTAATTAAATCAAACAAAACTGCATTTCAAAATTATATATCCAACCATGAACAGACAACCCAATCATGTATTGAATCAGTAACCGTTGCAAAAAGTACATTTGAATGTGTTTTGTCTTGAGGTGGAGCAGCTCACAAAGGACTGGTCTGAAAGCTGGAGGGACAAACAGGAGCTTATGGAGCAATACAGTGTGGACATAAACCGGGACCCGGGCGGGTTCTTGATAAACTCACTGCAGCCACATCTCGTGACTCTCGACACAGACGTCCTCAGCACTGGAGTGGTCTTCTATCATCTGAGGGTATGACATCAACATGATGTATTCATGATGTAAAACCATACTATTGATCATTCCAGGGAAAGCATTCATTTGACTTATCTGTGCCAAAGCTGGGCTTAGATAAGATAATAACCATTATTCGTTCCGCTGCAGGACATTTCAGTGCCATAGTTTTCTTTTGTAATTTAAAAATGTCATTTGTCAAAGAGTCATGTAAAAGTACAATGTTGTGAACAAATCAGACCATAACATTTTGTATTCATATTATTGATCTTATTTATATTTGTATGAAGTACTAGTACTAGTAGTACCGGTACTAAAAGTACTATTTGACGCTTTGGGTTAAGACCTGAATGGCTGAATGGTCCTCTCTTTTTCAGTTTATGTCAAAAATACATGCATGCAGTAGTAATGGAGAGATTATTTGGATTTTATTACATACTTGAACCTAATTTTTGTGTGAATTAAAAGCTTGATACCCCATCTTTAAGAGAATCTTTAGAGAAAATGCTCTTACTCTGCCACCAATAATAATCTGATTGATAAACAGGGCAGCGTGTTTTCGAAATACATCCTTAAAGTTTGCAATATTTGTACATTTTCTATTGCAATTGCTGTATAAGGTTATTTTGTCAAAAGAAATAGCAACGGATAAGGTATGACTGTGGGAAAATCTGTTTTTGCACAATATGTAAAAAAAATATGTCAAACTTTATACCAATGCTGAACAGCCTTATTTTTTGGAATCATTCTACTTCCTTTTTTTCTTTCTCGTCACTATTTTTGTCAGCTGTCTGGACTAAACCTGAATCTTTTTATCTACCAGATCCTTCTCCTTCCTCCTCCATCACTTCTGTTTCTCTGTTTTCTGCTACAAAAACTCTAGAGAAAAGGTGCGTTTCTTTTCTCATTCTGCTTTCCATCTGTCCTTTCATTTTCCCCCATATCGGTTCCTCATTCAATTCTCAAAGCTTGGTTGAATAAGATAGTGTTAGTTCGGAGTCTAAGGCCACCCAAGGGAGCTAAGGGTGTCCTGGATTCAACAGTGACAGGCGCACCCTAAGGCCTGACAATTACACTGCTACTGCTTGTGAAGAGGGGGGCCACCTGGGAGTGCAGTGGTCGTGACATTGTATAAAAAAAAAATATATTAGCAAGTCAGCGCATAGAGCTCAACTGTGGGTTTGACGACTGGTTCTAGAAGCAAAATTCCAGTTAATTTTCCCCTCAAAAAGTCTCATATTAAAGCAAATAACATTAAAGATGTTAATGCTTTTACTGTGAAGTGCTTTGTGACCTTGGTCTGTGAAAGGCGCTGTATAAATAAAGCTTGGTTACTTACTTAATTTATAATAACTGTTGTGATTCGATATGATTAATGATACATGGAAAAATATCCTTCCATGGATCCCTCTTTTTCTAAACCAATTAAAACAGCAGTTGTGTGTAGGTGCACAAGCTTCATCTGAAATACCATTACACACGTATAGAGGTTTATATTATGAAAACTGTGAATGTCATCTATTTAATTCTAAACTAACACATGTGCATAAGATAATATTCAATTTACATTTATTTAACCAGGAAAGTCTCACTGAGTGTGATTTGGACCAAGGATCTTCTTGTTGAAAAGCGAGAGTGCTAATCACTCACTGTGGCACAGTGATACGACAGTTGTCTTGATTAAAAAGGACATCTTTGAAATGATCATGTTCAGCATTTCTCAGTTTAATAGGAATTTAATGTATAGTATTCATATAAAAAAGTCACATTTGGGTTGAAAATGATCAATATTCTATGCATACCTCACCAACACCATGGATCAATGCCAAATTTCAGTGGGGTCTTCATACAATAATCCATGTTCAGTAGGTATGAATATAGAATGCATACAATGGCTGCAATAACCTTGCATGAACTGCATATGTTCATTGATAATCTTCTCTCGCAGGAGGGAATCACCCGGCTCGGACCACAGGACCAGTGTGGGGCTGCAGACATAGGTATGATAATAAGCCCACATTCACTCCTCCATCACCGATTCCTATACAAACATTATTGTATACATGGATGAAATGTATGCAAATCTGAAAAGCCTCTTAAGAAGCACACATTACAGCTGAGCACATATAAAGCAAACTGGCAGATTTAGATTAAACATGCTGCATTAATTATAGATTATGGAGGAGAAAATCATGCATGCTACCCCTCTCAGAAAAAGGGAACAAGCAATTACAAATGGTGCCATTTAAAAGTGCTGCATATTCAGAAGTCTGAATAATATCATTAAGAAATACAAATAAACACACATTTACAGTTACTATCAATCACAGATTTATTAAAAACAAAAGTAAGTCCAAAGTATACGTATGTCTGAGACCAGGTCCAGATGAGGAGAATACTCCGGTCACTCATTGCTCATTTGTAATCTCTTCACTTGTGGGAAGGGATTCTCAAACAAAAACTTAAGTACAAGCACAAAACAAAATGACAACACGTGAATACTGCAGATAATACGAAATAAAGCACATTAGCACAGGGAGGACGTTAGCTGCTATCAATAATTAAATGAAGCTAAATGTAGCTAGCTCACAGTGTACAACAGACAATCAAACATTTACACGAGTAAATACATTTCAGTGAGAGCTTTGGGCCAACAGGATACGTAGCTAACCAGTTATTTGCCGGATTACCACAGACTAGTCACATATCCAGAGCTCCCTGAAAACCTCGTAAAACCTCTGTGTTGAGCCTCGAGCAGCCTTTGAATTTCAGCCTGAAGAGAGTAACGTGTGGACCTCGTCCACCGACCAGGACGTTGCCTTTTGGGGCTTTCTGTACAATTCCATTTCTCTGGAGTGAGGAGGACGTAGTGGAGCCATAGCAGAGCAGCCGGTTTTAAAGATGGTGGGGTTGAGTTGGTTTAACCAAAGGGTCGGACGTCGCTTCCAGTGACGACACTCGTTGACCAATCAGTATAAGGCAGTGGGCCGACGTCACATCCTGATATTGGTACGGCGCAGATGGAACCACAGTCGAGGTGGTACGAAGACGTACGCAAACTCCGATACCAAACACTAGTGGAAATGCAAAATAACCGCACCGTACCATTTATGTTATCTATTATTTATTAACACTAACTCTCCCACAATTATGAAACTACTCTTAAAAATAGTGACCAAGAATGTACATGAGCTGAGTAATTGCACTTTGAAAACTAAAGGCAGTCAAATTGACTGCTCTAGATGACAATTCTTCATATTTATTCCCTTAAATATATCTGAAAGTTTGTGACAAAAGGTTCTGCACAATCTTTGAAAAGTTTGCAAAGTTATCCTGAATCTTTCCACTTTTATGTCTTATTTCTGTATGTAAGACTGCATTTGTGTCCTGTAGTTTTTCCGGCAGATGCGAGATGCGAGATTGAAAACCGCAGAGGTGTGGTGACTCTGCGGCCGCTCCCCGACTGCGTCCTTCTCCTCAACGACAGAGAGGTCACAGCGCCCTGCCGACTGGCTCAAGGTCCAACCAAATCCCCCTCACAAATACTGCACCTAGCACTACACAGTTTTACATTATCACTGCTTCAAAGAGTAGGGTCAGCAGAACTCAGGAGAGGTTATTTCTTCAGTTGGTTTTGTGTTTTGGTTTGCGTCCGACTGAAACACTTTGCTGAGTTTTTACATTTCTACACATCTGCTGAGTAATAGGGATGTGAGTATTGATACTGAATTATAGTTAAACTGACTCACTACAAATGTATAGCCTGTCAATAAACATAGATTTTTTGTTATAAATCACTGACTAAACCAATATTCAATTCAATTTATTCTTGTATAGACCTTAATCACAACAGGAGTTACCTCGGAGGACTTTACAAAACCATGGAATCCGCCAACTTAGATCAGAGTTCAAACACAAGAAATGCAATGATAAAAACACATAGAGCCTTCAAACGAACACTTTTAGTCCTTTGTCCATAAATGTTGTTGAATGTCGAGTGTCCTGGATCATCACCACTGTCCTTAGACCCTCCTGCATCGGCAAGGAAAAAAATATAATAGTTGGCAGCAACATCGTCCCTCTGTCATCCGCAAGCAAATCCTCCAGAGGCACGCCGACCGACCATGACCTTTTTTGTTTACTTCTCGAGACAGTTTTGTGGATATATTTTTGTGCTCATTCGTTATCTGTGACAATCAAGTTAACTTCAAAGAGAAGTGCCCGGAAATATTAAAACCCAACGACCTTGTAATTTGTAAGGTTTGTTGTTTCTTCAGTTGGCACTTTCTTGTTGTGAAAAGGAATACTTTTTCTTTCCTGATCCATAAGCTTGCTTCGAAAAAGTGAATGGAGATGGAACTCAAGCTGCCATAGCCGACTATACATTCTTGCGTTTCAGTTGTACTTCACGGCTTGCTTGACATTTGGAAATGTTTATGGTGTCAAGTGTGTCCGTGTCTATCATTGACCCATATTTCCCATATAGGTCAGTGCATTTCTGTCACACTGTGGACTCTTCAATGTCATGCGCAGATACACACACTTACACTGTAGTCACTCTCAGGCACACACTGCAGCGATTATGGGTCAAAAGAGAGTTTAAATATGAACCAACTTTCAGACTACGAGACCCTGACATAACCAAGTCTACGGGAATAAAGCGGTTGAAACCAGGAGTGTACGTGTTCAGTATGGTATTTATTTTGATGTGACTATTCTAATTGATATACTATACTATATGAACTTAGATGTATCAATAGAACATGCTGGTGTTGTCCTTTTCAATCGCAGAAGCATGTTTTTCTTTTCATTTCAAGCATTTGTAAGTAAGTAAGTAAGTAAGCTTTATTTATATACCGCCTTTCACAGACCAGAGTCACAAAGCGGTTTACAATTGTTATTTTTTGGGCACTTGTCCTCTCACTCCACACAGAGATGGGAGCGGGGTTTGTTTTTACTTCAAATTCCACTCACACCTAAATAATTCTGCAACTTTATGTTTAAACTAAATTGTGCATAAATAATAATATTAATCATCATAAAAAATATCCTAGGACTAAATTAAGACTACCCTAGACCTGAATTGATAGTAGAGCAAAATCTATGGTAGATGATCTGACAATTGGAAAATCTGAAGAAGGTAGACTTGCTTTTCTCAATACAAAAAGCAAAATAAATAAGATAAAATGTTCAGCAAAAAATTAAATCAACCCATTTCCTGTTTTTTGCGATTAATATTGGGACTAAACCCAAAACTCCAACTAAACCATGAATTAGACAAAACTAGAACTCAGCCAAAGCAAGTGTACACAGGGATCAAACGGAACAAAACCACGGCAGGTGTGAACGCAGCTTTAGTTCCACACAAACCCACAGCTCTGAGTCTGACTGTGTGCTGCTTGTGAAGTGACTGTGTGTGTGTGTGTGTGTGTCTCTCCAGGGGCCGTGATCACCTTGGGAGGAGTGCATAAGTTACGCTTCAACCACCCAGCCGAAGCAGCCCTCCTCCGGGAGCGCAGACGGGTAGGTGCTGCTCGGATGGAAATGGAAATTATGCACTTGGCAAAGATGATGGCAACACGGATAGCAACAGATGTACACCGCAGACCCGGAAACATGCATCGTTGAATATACTCTTTTATGCATTTGAATTGTGAATTGTAATTGAAAAATGCAAATTTGAAGACGTATCTGGTATTTTGCAATATTGTTGTTCTAGATGTTTTAGGGAGCGTAAAATTTACTTTATTACTTACTAACTAAGTGCATCTCTTAATATCAACACTAATAGTACTACTGTACCTGTGTTTCCAGATCAGTGAAAACAGCCTGACCTGCTCCTACACTGACCTTTGCAGCCTGGACTCAAAGGAAAGGTAAGCAGCAGTGGTAGTAATTACTAAGAAGTCATCACAGAAATATCTGCAGGTTTTTATGTTCAATCAAAAGTTAAGAAAAAAACATTTTAAATAGTCAGCAAGAGTTACTCAATGGACTAAAATGTATGCAAGTGAGCTAGGGACAAACCTATTCATGTTTTCAAGTCCAAAAATGACTTTGTCTTTAAATGCATTTACATTAAAAGAAATGTTTAAGAAAATACTCTCTCTTGTGCTTATGGTTCACAATTGTGGCACCTTTATTGTCTTGACTTGTCTCAACACACATCATCCTTTTGTTTGCATCAGTGATCCTGTTTCCCTGTGCACTTACAGTCTAAAAATAAAGCTAATTGAATAACCGGCCGTGTGTTTCCTAGTTACGATAGCCGCTGAAACCTAAATCTAGTCTGCACCAGGAGCTACCTGTTACTTCAGAGAACTCTCTTTACATTTGAGACAATAGCTCTTTCACCATGTTTGATCTCTCTTCAGTGTCAAAGACGTGACGCTGGAGGGGCAGCAGGATGTGTCCCCCAGTGAGGAGCACAGTACCAGGCTGAGAGTGGAGGAGCAGCAGCGTCTGGTGGAAAGTTTGAGGCGAGAGATCCAAAGCGAGCAGAGACGAGCTGACAGAGAGCTGGAGAGAGAGCAGGCCCACCTCCGACTGCAGCACCACGACAGTATGTGCTCCCAGTGTGTTTTTTCTGAATGGTGTGTGAGAGCTTCTAAAGTGTCATGTGGGGGCGGCAGTCTGCGTAGAGTGTAGGAAGAGTGGACGATTCAAGTGCAATTACAGTATGTTCCTTTTTGAGCCTGGACTCTTTGACTGGAGCCAACAAAATTTGTAAAGCGCTTTGTGTGACCTTGGTTTGTGAAATGCACGGTATGAAAAAATATTACTTATTACTGTCGCGTTTATTATATTTTAGATATAATATTCAATTTAAACATCACATCTTAACATTCTCTATACACTGTACCTCAAATTGTGCATGTTTGAAATCACATTAAACATCTCATGTCTGTGTTGTCTTCTTTTCACAGTCCAACAGTGGATCTTGTCAGAACAGGAGCGTCTGACGACGGCTGAGCAGAGAAGCACTCAGGAGCTCGGTGTTCAAACAGACCTCAGCCTTGGCCCGGTGTTGGAGCGAGTGACAAGTCAAATATTTACAGATGAGAACGGTCTTCCCAACAACCCTCCATCACAAGTCACCAGGGCCAGAAAGAAAACCGTGCAAGAGGAGTTACTGAAACAATATTCCCTGCACCGCACTGAAAGCAGAATCAGAAGAAAAAGACTCCATTATCAGCTGGAGAGGATTGGACGAAAGCGTTTAATGCTGGAGGCTAAAAAGGAGCTGCAGCGTCTTGAGAAGACCCTGCCCCCCAGGTCGGACAGTCCTGGTTCTCCCGAGCTGGGGCCCCCTTTCAAACATAGAGAGGACCATTCTCGATCCAGAAGACATTCATTCTCTGTGGATCTTCTGTCCCGGCTTTACCCTCAGCACACGCCCATTTACAAGTAAGTAGTGAGTGATTGAACAAAAACATCAGTTACTTCATCATTACATGAATGAATAGTTTAACTTTTAATCCAAACAATTAGCTGTCTTACTGTTAGCTGACTGGCATGACAACACATCTGGGGATTTTTCCTTTCTTCCAACAGTGCCATAAAATTGAGAATATTTTGTCATATTTTAACTTTCTATTTCTCTATTTTTCTAAATTATAATTTTTCTGTTCAACTTCACAGGCACTTTCTGAAGAGAAACCGCTCAACAGAGCTGACCCCCAACTCTTCATCTAACCCACTCGACAGCAGCGACTGGGTTTCAGACCATTGTCTTCCAAGAGAGAGGACTCAGAGCTGCTCGGCTGTTTTTTCAAGAGAAAATAAGTTTAGCCCAAATCGAGGCAACTCCGCGGAAACTATCTTACAAAAGTCACACGCGTCACCTGCACCGTGTTCAGATTGTCCCGAAAGGAAACCACTGCTTCCTCTTAGAGACCTGACTTTTAAAAATAGGCCAAAACAAAAACCTGTTGTTTTAACCTCACCATCAAATACAAGTCAAGACACGAGCCAAGAAAACTCACAACCATCGATGCACAAAGTTATAGCTCAAACCAAAAGTGATGAGAATGTTAAAATACCATGTTATGAACAAAAAATTGGACATAGAGGAATCAAGAAAGCATTTTTGGCGTCTCGATTGAAATCTGCAATGTCAAAAGTTCTCAAAAAGCCTCCTTTAATCAATAGACAAGTAGGAAGACAATCTGGGAAATTTCAATGGATACATCAAAAAGAAAAATATATCAAAACAAAACAAAAGTGTGTTATAAAAACAGCTGTTTCATGTGAGGACTTGGACCAAAGGCCGGGGATCACACATGTAAAGCAAAGACAATGGCACAGTACAGAAAATATGAGTAAAACTTTGAAATGGGTAGAGAAACAGCAGGGGTTGAGTGGATGGGAGGAGGAGGGTAGTGACAGGGAGGAAGATGGAGGACATTCAGACTGTGAAAGCCTTTTTTCTCTTGACTCTCTGTCTTCAGCCTATGCCACAGCTTTAGCAGAACAGCTATGGCGTGAGGAAGAAGCTCACAGTGACACGAGTGAAGACAGTGACATTTCGAAGGACTCCTTGGCTATTGAAGCTGACAGAAACTCCTCTGTAATGCCAAAAAATTTGCTTGCGCCATTGTGTCATTTGGTCACAGAAGATTTTAGCCCATATCCAGTGTTCAATAAAACAGTAACAACTTTAAAATCTCAGAGAGCACCAGCAGGAATCAAGAGTAATCAAGAAGCTCAACACATGATGAAAAATGTTGACCTTGGTCAAGAGATTCAGCAGAATTTTGTTGTAGATAAAAAATGCTCAAACATGGGAAATACTTCAACTAACAGTCCACAGTCAGTTAGAAATGGTTGTTGTCGAGAACAGGAAAATCAAATCATTCTGACAGACGCTTGGTCTTCCACTGAAGCTGGGGATAGTCCCAGGATTCACAGGAATTCTCTGGTTTTCCAAAAAAGAATGAAGGTTGGAGATGTTAACAAGGACAGCAGTGAAAGTCCAGTAAGCATTATCAGTGGATCAAGTAACTCAAGCATTGACATTGATATTCTAGCAGAAGAAAAGTGTGATGTTGATAGTAGCTATGCTCTGGGTCACACTGGGCAGTCAGCAGTTATCTACAAATCCACTAAAAACCACAATTTTCTCTCTACCGCCGCACAAGTGTCAAAAGTCAAATCGCTTAAGGTTAGAAATGAAAAACAAAAAGTGGTGACAGCTGACATTACAGAAGCGACTTCAAGTTGTCAAACCATGCCAGCAAGCCACGGGCAAATAGTGAGCACTGTTACAGCAAATGTCTTTAAATGCTGTGACAGTGGAGAGCTATGCTGTTCAGACAGCTGTTCAGACATGTGTAAAGATCAATTTGACAACACCAAAGACACACCTTGTGTATGTCAACTTGAGTCAAATAAAGACAGGACCAAAAATGTTGAGCAGGTTTCTGTACTACATCAGGAGCTGGTAAAATGGACTTGTAAAAATGCCAGGAAGAGGAACAATGACGAGGAGGATTTAACGGGAAGTATGAAAATTCCCAAAAGGAGCAACCGAGAAAACTTGGAAACGCATTGTTCTTCATCTGCAGCTACTGAGGTTCATTGTTTGCCCGGTGATCCCAATACTGGGGACTTTGAAGACACAGCCATGAAGATGCAGGGATTTGACAAAACTGTCGAGTGTATAAACAGCTCTTTTCGGATTACAAAACGTAAAACTACATCAATAAAAGACAATGAGGCCAAGAGTGAAATAAAAACATTCCGTCAAAATAAAAATCACAATTGTCATTCAGAGGCGATATGCAGTGCAATTGACCTTAGGATTTCTGAAGTGGTCAATGAGCACCTTAACGCCTCAATGGCAGGTCAAGATGGGGATATTAAAAGCAAAAGTTTGGACACGTTGACAGCGTTCACATATGCTATTGGTTTTAGCAGCAAACAAGAAAACAGAAATAGCAGTAATGGTTGTGAGCCAGATACGTTGGGCTTAAATTCTACAAGTAAAAGCACAGGCGATGCGTTCCACTCACCAGAACTAGCACAAAATAATGCTTTTACGGTGAAATCTGCCACATCTAATGGTCTGTTTGAAACTACAGAGACAAGCCATACTCCTGCAACAAGGGCAAGAACGGCAGCAAAAATGTGCAGAGATGTAGGATTTCACGGGGCACAGAAATCTAACAAAACGTCTCATTTCAATCAAAGTCATTGTTACAAATCCTCTATTCACGCCTCCTCTGATATTCTCTGCACCGACGGCATTTCAAGAGTAAAGTCTGACTGTACTGAAGCTAAAGATGTAACAATAGCAGCAGAATTGACTAGCTGCCAATCACATGCACCAACCTCGTCTTCAAGGATGATTCAACACTTTCAAAATATTTCCCACATTGGCAGAGACGCAAAATCACTCCCAACTGATGATTGTGTTCTCACCCCTGACAATAGCGCAGCTGGCAAAATCGAAATGCTGTATTGTACACAAACTGTGGTGGAGAAATGCCCAGCCATGAAAAATTATTTGGGTCAAAATTGTATGAGTAATTTGAATAACAAACACCAACCAAATTTGCACCATGGCCAGACTAGTTCCAGTTCAAGTCCTAAAAATCCATCTGAACAATGCGTGGTGCAATCGTCTCAAAGAAAACCAAATGACTCGCACAATGGCCGAAATAGTGTCTCTTTTGCGTGTGATCAGCAGGTTGAAACTTTAAAGGCCAAAAAAGTGAAATCCAAAAGAACTAGAAGATCAAGGCGATCTTATCCAATCTCGTCTTCCGACTCTTCTGTAAAATATTCAGATGATGAAGAGTGCCCTACAAATGTAATGAATGAACCACTTGATCTAAACAAGATGGAAAAAGCTCAAATTAAAACGCATATCCCGGAAATTCAAACAAAGATGAAGCCAAAATGCATTCAGACGAGGCAATCGCTGTCACCCAAAGCTTTACAAATAAAAACAATACAAAACGCTACTTGTGATCAGCATTGTGGACTGGACTCACCGCTGCATTTTGCCTCGAGCGACATCAACCCATTCGTCCACCAATGGCAAGAGGACGAAACAAACGACAGCCATAAAACACCTACATTTGGGAGTGCGGCCAATCTATCGTGCAAGTCTCCCCTTTTAAACAGCGCGGAGAAACGTATTACAAGATGCCTAAGCGTGGAGAATGGTTTGAATAGACAAAACTCACCCTTCAATTCGCATCTGAGCACATACGCGACCAACAAAGGGCTGTCCAGTACGTTAAGCAGCGTGGAAGACAATCGACAGTCATTGCAACAGAATGGAGAGGATATTCACGCACATTTGGCCAGTCTCAAAATCAATACCACTTCTTCTCATAAAACTGGCCCGAGTGGAAATAACTCTAGTCATGATGAAATAATGTTTGTCTATTCCTCTGAACAGGAGTCCCAAGCAAGAACTAAATCCCAAAGACGGCGGACTTGTGAGCACAGCACTCAAACAGACAAACAAGTAAATTCGGATAGCAATAACAACAGCCTAAAGAGGAAAAGTAGGCATCGGAGAAGCAACACAGACGGGCCGGCAACGCAACGAAGTAAAATATATATAAAAAATTCCTCGACTTGGGCCAGCATGGAAAGTATGTCCGTGCATATCAACAAATTGATAGACAGCACCTCTGACTTGTTGGAGGACGTACAAGGTATGAGAAATGGTGAAATTCGCAAGACACATTTGAATAGAAGTGTAAATTTGCCAGTTGATGGACACAGGTCAAAGGAATGTAAAGATACAAGAATCAGTGTTGCAATTCAAACACAAGAGCATGAAAACTCCCATTCACATGTCAATGTTATTGTCAAAGTGATCGGTTCAGATGTCACTGTATCACCTGACAATAATGTAGTTTGTGTGGTAAAAGGTTCACACGACAAAGCTTTGAATGTGTCTCAGATAGAGATCAAATCGTCTGGAGTAGAAAGGCCCAAATCACAAATGGACAAGCGCGGACCTATCTCAACCCCTGCTATCAAAATGACAAGCAACGAATGTCAGCCGCATCTGAAATCGTCTGCTTCTAAAAGCTCAAAGCCGCCAAGTTTGCCCGAGGCACTGTGCCACAAAAGGGAAAAAAGCCCTTCCGGAACAACAGCGCAAAATCAGAGCTATTCTCCAAAGAGTGACCTATTGTGCAGTTCAAAGCAAAAGGCCACTTACATAGACCGTGCCTTATCTCCCATTCTCACAGTGGGAAGGCGATTATCAACAAAGCACAATGAAGAAGTGTCCACTGAGAGATACCAGGACAAAAATATAAGTAATAAAAATGTGCAGACAAGAAAAATAATGCCCATCGATGCACACAACTACGATCTGTCCTCAAATATTACTTATGAATCCGTTGAAAATGAATCCTTTTCGAATATGTCAGATAAATGTTCTGCAAGTCCTAATTTTACACTGGATACAGACACTAACAGTGACTGGAGAAGTGATACATACAATAGGATCAATCTCTCACAGCCAAGCTTTTCTCTAAAGACTCAACGAAACACTACTGATGCTATACAGATGAAAAATATACAAGATTGCCTCTCTCCTTTTGACAGTTACATAAATACGCAGAAAGCAGGAAACCAAAATCAAAAACATGATAATGACAATGCTGTTATTACTTTTTACAATGAGCAGTTATTTGACAAAACACAGCAAGATACAATGTCTCTCTCCCCGAGCGAATGCAACACGGACGCTCTTGTCAACATTGAAGTTGGAGTGTCATCACCCATTCAGGACTTTCCAACACTCCCCCAAAACTTGCCCTTGCACAACAAGTTCAAAAACTGGTCTGGCATCAACTATTGTCAATCTAAAGACTTAAAATGTCCCAGCAAAACCTCTAATTGGGAATATATTGACCACCGTGGGACCAGTAGGAAGTCTGTTCAAAGCGAGAGGAAACTGAAGGAGATCCACAGATTGCGACTGGAGAGGGAGGAGGTGATGGCTACAGTGGGTCTGGGTGTGACCTCGGCTCCTCTCACAGTGGAGCTGACGGAGGCCAAACTGCATTATGGTCTGGGACAAACGGACATGCTGCTGAAGATGCTGTCCCCCAGAGATGGTCTGGAGAAGGAAGAGTCCCGCCCCCCGGCTCTCACAAAGCAACTGCTGTACGATCGGTAAGTGTATCAGTATGTGTGCAAATACAGTATTTAATTACAGTATGCAATTCAAAGTGTTCTAGTGCTAAGTGCCTAAAGTCATGAATGAGAAGTGACAATGTATGTATTCATTCATGAGAGTCCAGACTGCAAAACTGTCCCAGGAGAAGGGTTAGATCATTTTTTTTCTTGTCTCTCTCTCTTTCTGGGGAAATGGTTGTCCCGGTACTTAAAATACAGTATTAAAATAAATATGAGGTTAAAATGCTATTCAGTAATTTTCTGATGTGAAAGCTATGTTCAAGCTAAAGCTAGGGTACGTAACTTTCAGACCACAAAAAACCATAATGTAATAAATACATCTAACTCCTGGCTTTATATCTACTGTATGCACTAGTTTACACATTTTGACCTCTGTCACTTTTGCTCAATCCACTAAGTGAGATTTGTTAATGACATTTTACTTTTACAAATAGAAAAAATTGGTATCCCAGTGTTAAGAATGTCGATTGAAATTCAATCCACACCCTTATTGATGGTGAAATATTGAAATTTGATAGACTTTACATATTGTACTGATTGAAAATCTTTTGTTTCATTTCACAGACATCGTAAAAGCATCGAGGTTCTGAAGCAGGAGAGGGAGGCGCGTCTCCAAGGTTACCGTCGCACTCGTAGTTTGAGTCCCAGTAAAACCCTGGGGTCTCCCCCTCAGACTCCAGATTGTACCACCTCCTCTGGTCCTTGCAAAGAGGATCTGCAGCAGTGCCACCAACAGGTCGTCCATAGCACCAGGTAAACACAAACATAATTAAATGCTACACTGGCTCAGTCCTGGTAACTATGAATCCTTACAATATGACGCCATGTTCAGAGCTGTTTGAAAACAAAAGTACTCCCTAATGTTATTCATTGAAATTATATTCTTGAGTACCACACGTCTTCAATTACAAAACACAATGTCTGAGTAAAAACACAAGAGGAGTGAGTGCATACGGGGATAAAAAAAAAAAATCAATGCAGAGTAAATGTGAGAAGTCAGGTGCTCTTCGAGGATCCGTGGGAAAATAATGTAGAGAGCAGAGAGGAAAAAAAATCCTTAAAAATTCTTTATTGTGGAAGCGACATTGCAATCTTTTCTTAATCCATTATACCACTAACAAAACACTTTCTAAAACGTATGCAAAAGTAAATCATCTCAAAAATGCACATTATTTCTTCTTTTAAGTTTTCATTTTGGGTCCAGTCTTAATTCTTATTACTGGTCTGGCTTTGTTTGCCCGAAGTGCAAAAAGTGTGGTTTAATACGATCTGTGCTCATTTAACACAGTCTTTATTTTAATTTGCCTGCACCAGCACCCCTGACCCGAGCCTTGGGGAGAGCCGCTGCACCTCTGACATTGAGCAGCTGCTGCGAGACTACAGCCGAGCACGAGACGAGGCGCGCTCAGAGATCGCCAAGGCCCGAGAGCGACTACGTGAGAGAACAGAGCAGGAGAAGAGGAGACTACAGCAGCAGACCCCGTCCCCAAACACTATGGTCAGCCTGGACCTCCTCCTTACTCCTATTTTACATCATCGATTTGAGAGTTCCCTCCTCATGCCAACATGGCTGGAAAAAACGAAAACCATTCAATCTTATCCTTGTGTCCACAAAAGACATTGGGCCTCATTCACGAATAACTTTGTATGAAACTTCTTAAATTTCTTCTCAAGTTGTTCTTAAGTAGATTTCTAAGAAGACCCTACGTGGGATTCATCAACGCGCTCGTAAGGCGCTGAATTGTTCGCAGCTGTTCTCTCAGATTGATGAATGCCAACTCCTCGTAAGTAGAGCGCGCGTGCCCGGTGCTTCATTAGCATAGGTACTTAGCATAGGTAACCGCCCATTAATGCCCATATAAGGGACTGCAGGGCCGTGTGCAGACGCCAGAGGAAACAGCAACAGGCCTAAAGCAAAGAGTTACACGGAGCAAAATAGTCACCCTTTTTTCTTCTTTTGCCAGACTGAGAATTAAGTAATAAAATGTTGACGTAAAAGTCGAAATATTATGAGAATAAAGTTGAACTAGCAAAATTATGAGATTAATCTAAAAATATGATGAGATTAATCTCAAAATGTTATGAGATTAATCTCAAAATTTTATGAGTTTAATTTAAAAATATATTATGTATTAATTTAAAAATGAATCTCAAAATGTTTTGAGATTAATCTCAAAATATTTTGGACCCGGGGAGGAGATCCAGTGCGAACCAGCGCTGAGACCAATGCAGACCCGAGGAGAGACTAGAGTGACCAGCACACAGAAACCAGCGCGGACAGGAGAGACCACATAGACTGGAGACACCTGACTGGAGAGACCGGTGCGCAGAGACCAGCGCGGACCGAGGAGAGACCGTGGACTGAAGAGACGTGACTGGAAAAGACCGGTGCGCAGAGACCAGCGCGGACCAAAGAGAGACCGCATGGACCAGACTTCTCTGGTGTTGGTGATTTCAAAGGTTTTGTTAAGTCCTCTGAGAAGACTTCTGTTGTGACCGAGGGCTGTACAAGAATAAATTGTATTGTATTGTATAGATCCATGGGAGACACCAGCGCAGAGACTCAGCGCGGACCCCGCAACCTGCAGCAGCAGTATATATGCTATTGTTCTGTGGCCCGTGGATAAAGAAATGCCCCCTATAAATAGGATAGGGTCACTAATACACGGCAAGATTTCCAATGTATTTGATAAAGTGTTGGCACATTTCATTTCAAAATCAATAAAAATATAGGCTAAATTACCATTAACAATTAAATAAATAAATACATACATCAATATGACGGACATATCACTGTAATGTTGTGTTTTATTGAACTTCATAACACCAGCGTGTGAACATGTCGGCACTGAATGTGCGTACGAGTGCTCCTGAGCATTCGTAGGATTTGTACTTACCCAAGATAAATTCTGGTTACGAAAAAATTTCATGAATGCCATAATCTTCGTAAAATCTTCGTAAGTAGGATTTACGCACAAATTTGTTCTTAAGTACGGTTCGTGAATGAGGCCCATTGTTCCATCACTGCAGCTCAATATGTAAACTCAAGATACATTTAAGAAACAAAATCTGTACAAACCAGTGAAATCTGTGTTCAAAATTGGCCGGTTTAATTGCCAATAAATTGGTCATTCAACGTTTTAATCCTTACCTTATATAACAACCTTGAACCCTGGTTTATATGACCACATATAAAGATATAAACGATACAAAGTTTCTAATATTTTGTCTATGCCATATTTATTTATCAATTCAAGCCAACTATTCTGACAACAGCAAATAATTTTCTTGTTGTTGTTGAAATGGGAATTGTTGGGAAAAATGAGATATTTATGCGACAGGACGACCTGAGACATCGGACCAGAGTCAGTAACAGCACCTTATGCACTGGGTCCAGTCTGAGCCTCTCCTCAGGACCCACCTCCGGATACAACAGCGGCAACACTCACCTCCAGCTCAGCAACACGTCCATACAGGTGACAAAAACTAATGTGTCCTGTTTTTTATTCACAGTATTTAGTGAGGAACAACATTAGATAATATATATTACTTTTTGCTTTTTTGTTTCAGGATGAGGAACAGAAGATCAGGGCACGTCCACCTGTTTGTGGTGCCCAAAGTGTGAAGAACCAAAGAGTCTGGCTTTCTGCCCAAGGTTAAAAAAATAACTATCAATTGCTCACTATCTATTTATGTGATTACATCGGGTCTAGTTACAGTCATATTTCCAGCATCTTTAAAACACCTTCTAGCCATAACAAGTATATGGCATGATATGAGGTTATATTGACATTGAAGAGATAGTTGATAGTCAGACAATGAAACAACCATGAACCACTGGAGAACATGTTGATTGCATATAGACAAAGGTTTGCTTGAACAATAAAACCTTATTTAATGGTTTATTGATTGCAATGAACTTGTTTAAGCACACATAAGATCCATCTAATTATGAGTTGCTCTGTGTATATATTTTAAGAAGACCTTTTTTTCCCCCTCAAAAATTATTATTCAAATGTAAAATAATATTGTGAGTAGTAACTATATGATGAAACGAGTACAAAGGGTAAATAACTGCTTATTCTACCAATTAAGAGAAATTTTGTGTTACACGTTGTAACATGGTTAAAATTTCCCCAAAAAAGTTATTGTTGTTTAAGAAAATCATTTGAAATGTTTGAAATACTTAAAATATTATTGAATTTCCAGACATCCGCCTTGACCTTTCTGCGTCAGGATTTGAGCCCACAATGACCTCGTCTCCTTCAGTCCACTCTTTCACACGACATCGAGCTGCATCGTCCGGCTCCTCCTCCTCCATCTCCAGCCACAACTATCAGGACATCACCTCCTCTCTCCACGGAAAAGCTCTGGCGGAGGTTTGTAGGCCGCAGATAACAGCTTATCTGATCCAAACATCACATCACAACATATATGACAGTTTGAGTTGAGCTATTTCTCAAAGTACATACACTTTCATGTGCTAAACATATGTGGAGACTGTTATAGGGATTTTACAAAAAAACTGGAAGGATTTTATACTTTTTCAGAGACTTACCATCAGAGTAAGCTAACAACTCTCTCTAATGGCTCTCTTTCTGAATACAATATTGTGATGTAGAGTTTGAAGCAGAACTAAAAGACATTTTCTTTTCTATATTTCTTTATTTTTTTTTTTATTTGAAAAAAAGAAAAAAATGTTTGAATGTAGAAGAAAATATATTGTCTATAATGGCTAAATAAATAATTGCATACATAATTATGAAATAAACATTAGAGTACAGATGAGTGTCTGGGCACTAAATGTCCTCCAGGGTCGTACTATAGTCAGTGCCTTGTTGTGGTTTTATCTTTATAGTACTTCTGGTTTCTTTCTTTTCCGTAATGACTGGACAATCTCTAATGTTTCCACACAGGTGCGACTTGCCTCTGCAGGGGATCTTAGTAACTTGCTTGCTGGAAAGGCCACTGCAGGCTGGAGGTTTGTTTGAATATTTCCCACAAATACATTCTGTCTTTTCTGGATTATCAGATTCACAAACTCTTCATTTTAGATTTGAAGGAGAGGAGAACGGGACCCGTGTTTTCTACAAGCCCTCTTCCAGCCCTTTTGTGCACAGTTTTCTGGGGGCAGCTGACTTGAACAAACCCCTGAGCAGCCTCTGGACTGTGATAAAGCAAGTGTCCAAAAGCCACCTGTTTAACCAGTCAGTCCATTCTGTGTGGACTCGACCACTAGATGACAGCACTCAGCTGGGTAAGCTCTCTATACGCTGTCAGCCTACATCATTACATTAAAGTCTACTAGAGGCTTGTGTGTGAGTAAAAAGTACAAATTTTTGTTGTCGAAGCAAAGCTATTTATGTTTTTGCAAAGCATTTTGGGCATCTGCACATTAGTTAACTTACAGAACAAAGCCATTCATCACAGCACAGTAACACCTGCTATGGTTGCTTTTTACGACTTTCTCGCTTTGAGTTTGTATCCACTTGATCACAACAATATTTAGTTTCCCTATAGTGTAGCATTCAGGTCTAAACTATAGGTATAACCACAGACTACAAGTTGTGACAAGCACAGAAATCCAAGGTCTCCTGCAATATTGTCAGTAAAGAGCATTTCCCACATTAGGCTTTTTACACTTTTCAAAAATCAAGTAAACGTTATTGTTTCATGTTCCAATGAGCCTCACAGTTTGAATTGTTCCCTTGTAGTGTACATACTCAGTGATCCGTCCAGATGCCACCTCAGCCAGCCGCGAGACTTCTGCTGCATCAGCACTGCAGCTCAGCAGGTAAAACCTTTCACACATGGACTGTGATTACTGCTATTTCTACACTGATGTAACAGGCAGCTTCAGCCTGAATGATGCTGTTTTGTTTTAACTTATTGGATCTATGTGTGTGCGTGTTCGAAAAGGACAGAGCACATGAACCAACAGTTGCCAGATTAACAGAGGTATAGATTCTTGACGTAGACGGGGCTGAGAATCTGACATGTGATCTGTTTTTAATTATATGTATGTAAGCTCTTGATTGACAACATTGAATATTATCATTGTCAACATTTTCATAGAATATTAAACATTAATATTAGCAATCAGTATTACCAAATCTTACCGGATGGTTAATAGAATTGTGCTTCATACAATCTAACCATCATACAGAATAGGTTATACAATATCTGCATGTATTTGATGATGCATTGAATTAATGAATATGCCCAGATTTGTTAGCGTCAGCCTACTCCTTTTCAGTCTTTTTCTTTCTTCTGTAAACTTATTGCTCTGTTACAATGTGTAAAACTGTACAACTGACCGAAATAAAGTTCATTCACACAAGATGGAATGTGTGATGCGTGTAGCCTTTGCAATCTCACAAATATTGTACGAATTTGTCCTTGGGTTAGAGGTTAAGGGCAATAAAATGCACTACCTGTGAATCACGCCGGGCCATCACTGCATTAGTCATTTCCAGTGGATGAATCATTGCTGGATGTTAGTTATTTTGGACCCTCTTCTCAGTATTGACATCCCACTGGTGCGTTTTACACTGCCCACCTCAGCAGCTGACCACACAGACCCTCTGCAGTGGGCGTAAATAAAACTCATGTTGATTTGTAGTCAGCGAGTGCGCAGTTGCCTTTGAGCCTGATCAAAAAGCAGGGCGGCCGGGGTTATTGATGCTTTCTTTTCTCTTTTAGGGTGGGCTGCACATAATGGCCATGCAGTCTGTGTTTGAAGAATCTTTACCACGTCCCAGTGCGGAGGCGGTGAGGGGGGAGATGATGCCTAGCTGCTGGATACTGCAGTCGCTCAAATCCCCCGGACAGGAGGAGGTCACAAGGGTGGTCTTTCTTTTGCAGGTAAATTATACATTCAACAGGTTTCTGCCATTTTATCTACATGATCCTTACTGAAGGTAAAAAAAACTTTAAGCTGTCCATCTGGCAACCCAAAGCAAGGCAAAACATTCATCTTTCTGGTTAAGGGATTTTTTGAATGCTACTTCTTCTTCATTGTTGCCACTGTTTCTTCATAATCGTATGAATACTTTTCTCTTCAGGTTGACTTCGGAGCTCCTTCCTTTCCACAGCGATTGTTGAACTCAGTTGCAAGAAAACAGGCAACTGTCATTGCCGACCTCGATGCTTTTGTTGCTTCAAAACTGTTGTAACCATTCACAAAAGCAGAGAGCACTTAAACAAATCTGTGTCCAACATTCACAGATTGACTTTTATTTGCACCAGAATTATACTATTACTTGACAATTTTTACAAAGAGCACTGTAACTAACGGCAGCAGGAGATCAAAGATATGTTTGTTGTTTTTTATATATATATTTAAGCATCACTTTTATTTTTATATGTTGTACATGTACGTATACAATGCTTTCCACAATCGTACTTATACCAAAGATTGACTTCAGGCAAAGTGGCATTATGCAGTTGCTAAATCCCAAAAATGTTACTTTTTAAACAAGCTTGACTTTCTGATGTCGTGTAAAACTAACATGACTTAGAAGCCAATACAACTTAAGCTCAATAAGTTAATCATTTAGAATCTCAAGGCAAGCTACTTCTTTTAAAAGGAAAATTGAAATGTCCTGAATCTTGAGTGTTCTGAACCGTTTTGGGATAGAACATACTGTAGACGTGTAGTGAGAGTGTTTTCCCCAAACACAGGTTTGAACCACTACAATGAAGCTTTTTGTTGCAAAACTATTGAGAGACTTTCCTCTAAGCTATAACAAATTTGTAAATTGTAATTACAAGTGTGTGAAAAGGGCTTTTAAATGTACTAATACTTTGCTAACAATAGTAAAACTAATATATGTAAACGTTTTATATCGATGTTATAACATGGTAGAAACATGAATTTATTAAAGCACTTGTTCTTTTTCTTTGCTCACACAGTAAAGTACTGTACTCCAGTCACGCACATGCCTTACTCATTCAAAACTTAATGCATTTTTGTTTAAATGTATTGATTTACATTCATATGCTCAAGCTAATTAATAGTTTGTGACTTCCTGTTACCTACAGTGGCTAAAAGCATAATTCTGATTCTGATATTTGTTGGAGCTGAAGTTGACTGAATGATTTGTTCCCTAGAGACTGTCTTCTAATCTGAGGTGCTAATCTTTAAAATGATTATCTTGATCAGAATGCATTGGCAGAGCTGAAGTTGGCTGGATGACACTGTGATTATGTCATGACTGGTTAGCTTTAGCATGATCCGTGTGGACCTTTTACAACTATTCAATAACAGATGTGTGATTGTCGAACAATGCAGTCTGCAGACTCTGAGCTTCAAAGGTTTTGGTGCCGCTAAAGTCTGACAAAAAGAGTCTGTGGAGACGTTTAAGAAAATCTGCAAATAATACCCCTGAACCAGTCAGTCCCTACAAAAAATATCTACTTTTTTTGCAGAATTGTTTATTTATGTGCAGCTTTCTACCAAAGGTCTTGTCTTTAGGCCACCGTGACTTTGAACTTTTTGACTGTTACAATACGGTACCCCAAATCTGCATTTTATCTGTGTTTCCTATTTATTGTTGTTTTTCCTTGTGCCGCCTGAAGAAAAATTGAATGTGGATCTTTGTTGCTTTATTTAAATTGCAATATTCTATGTTGTTTTTAATTGTCATAAAGTTGTGTTTGATTTGTTTGTCCAGTAAATACATGAAGCTATGCAGGAGTCAGGTCAGTTCTCAGTTAAAACTGAATGGACCTCATGAACAGAATAAGCCATAACATTCAAGACCAGCGTGAAGGAAAACACTTTTTATGTACTTTCTTTTTTTACATAACCAATTTTAAAGTTTGTTATATTTTTTGTTTTGTATCAAGTTGTGTAAATACTGTATTTCAATACTCATTCAGCAACACTTTTAAAAAAATAAAAAAAATATTTAAAATGTAAATACTGTCTTTGTTTATATTTGTTTGCATATAGTTTAACGTATTCGCCTACTCATTACTACATACTATTAACTGGCAAAAGCGGTGTAAATTACATTTCTATATGTTATGTATGTTTTTATTGCACTGCCTCAGCCTGAATGAGACAAGTGGCTTCTGGAGGAGCTTTTTCCCTGAGCCTTGGCTATACCTAGAAACACCCCTGGAAGAGTTTGGAATGATGAGTTGAAACAAAGTTAACTACAGTTAATTGTTGTTTGACCCTCATGTTAGAGTCATTTAGTTTACAACTGTTCCATTTCATACATTGCATTCTTCCCCCCAGACATGCAGTACATGGGGTGACGTTTAGGCCTAAAGTGGGTGTTGTGGGTGTTGTGCGTGCGATTAGAGCAGGCGCGGGTGGGGTCTGTCCTGGGTCTGTCCTGGGTCTGTCCTGGGCCTGTCTCTGTCCCGTAGAGACTGTGTGAGTTGTGTGCGTGGTGCTCTTCAGAGATCACAAGTGCTTATGCCATTTCTAGTCACCGGCTCTAGTGAGGAATGTCCGACCCCCGCGCGCTCAGTCCTGGATGCGCCCGCGTTATTTTTAACCCGGTGGCGGGGTGGGTCACTCTGGTCCTCTGCTGGGAATGACCGTGGACCCGTGGAGCTGCTGTCCCTTTCCCTGGTCCCCCCGCGCAGGACCGTCCCGCCTCGCTCTCATACCGACTGACCAAAAGGATTTATTCTACACCGCTTCTGCTGCTTCTATGGGATTATAATTTGTTCACAGGCACAGGGCCCGACTCAGCAGAACACCCGGGACAAGAGGACGCCTAAAGACAAGTGGGTTGAAATAAAAATTCATATTTTACTTTTATATTACGTCATCAAAAGTGTTCACACATTTTAATCATGAGCTAACAACCACCTGTTGCAAATGGGAAACGTGTCGAATCAGTTATTTCTAATCTCTCGTTAAAAGACAAAACGTATTTAAGAAAATTACAGTTCTTATTCAAATACATTTTTTATTTAATACATACAACCTTAAATTGAAACAATCTTAGTGTTTTGGCGTGGCTGAGAGAGGTCAAGGTGGCCTCATGTTTGACATTTCAGCACGAGGTCCATTGTGTTCCTGAAAGCTGAAAGCGATGCGTGCGTCTTGTTAAATTCACGTATTTAAAAATAATTGAATACAATTAAAAAAAGATAAATACATATTTTTTTAAGATGTTTTTTAATAAAAAGTATTTCCACATCAGCCTGTTGCATCTATACATTGTTTATTATCTTTTCGGCACAGTTCACTTGATCACCCTAAAAGGACAAGTGCGCATGCCCTGGTGCGTCTGGTCGCTGAATAAACACTGTAGTAATTTATGACGATTCTTCATCACTTTCTCCACATGTTTCTCATGTCACAACAACAATGACTACCACACCGGCCTCTTTTGTCTCAATGGAATCACCAGAATCAGTTGATAAATACTGTAACGTTATTATCTGTTTTATAGTTATGATTATTATGGATATGCTTTTTGTATAGTGGGGAGAGAGATGAGGTAATGTGTCTTGATCCTAACCTCCATGATATTGATATGTCTATTGACTTTTGTTGCTAAAACACAAGTTTGTACCCAGAAAAGTTACAGACTTAATTCAATATACATACACACATTTAAATTATTTGAAACAAAAAACAAATACTAATGAAAACTTCTGTAAATGCTGTTATATCTAAATATTCAAGACATGTAGAATAAATTCAGATTAAGAACATATAATCTAGTTCTTTTGCAAATAGACTTGTTCAAAGTAGCTCTCAAATGTGCTCAAGCAGTTAGAGTACAGTGCTATACAATTCATTGAGTAAAATTAATTGGAAAAGTGTAATTCATATCTGCATCTATGAGGTCTGGGGCAGTCCTACATTCTCTCAGTCACACCCATCTCTCGTTACAGTCTTTCACTCCATACTCTGCTCCTACATTAGAGCTTTTCCGTTTTCTAATGCTGCCGACATCAGCATGCATTTCACTTAACAGCTGAGACACCGGGGCCGGCACTTGTTATCCAGGAGCTGCCTCATGTTTACACCGCCGTATAATTACCCAGTGAGAACATACACAACACAGCCTGTCATTAAAAAGAACTTACTTAACATTTGCAGAGGAGCAGCCGCAAAGTGTTTTTTCCATTTCCTAAAACGGCAACACTTGAATCGAGAGGAGAAATCCCAGTTGACATTGTTATCATCCCTCTTGACATTTTTGGCACTTTTGAGAAATGGTCCAGTCAGTGCTGCTCAGTCATTGGGTTCACATAACTCCTGAAATCCACCACAAACAGGAATGCTGAAGATGTCAATGTTAAGTTGATATTTGCGTTGTTTAATAGTTTATGCTGTTGTTGTGTCCATGTGTAAGACTTATACACACTCGACTATAGCATCGTTATAGTCGAATGCCTTTCCTGTTACATACAATGCTGATTTGCTTTATATAATCCTCAAAGGTTCATGAAACTTTTTCCATTGCTAGTTTGTGTTGGAGTAGATATTCCTTGCCTTGAGCATTTTAATTGCATGTGGAGGAGGAGGCGCTACGGAATTAATTAATGCCATATTGCCATTAATGGCATAATATTTCAAATGATAACATGTCTCTGTGACATCAGGTGCCATATGTCTTTAGTTCCACCAATGATGCAACATAAGTGGTGTTAATTGCATGAACTAACCCCCAGAAGGCTTATGAATTTACATTGGACTATTGTAAAGTATAAAGTTCTTTATACCTGCCAGTGTTTTATATTTGATTAGTCTGTCTCTTGCCTGCGGGTTCTCTTGTGATAAATCTGTTCGTTCCTTGATTTTTTACCAAGTTTGACACAGATAAATAATTGTGATCATGTTTACAGGCAGACACAATAGAATTATCAAACAAAACAACCAATGCAGGTAAATATAAAATCTTATTAATAAGCACTTATTATGCAGATTAAAGCTGGAGTACCTAACTTTTGCACCACATGTGATGGAACTATATGGAACATTCCATAGCGCCTGGCTCTAGACATTTTTTCAAATACATATATTTTGTAGTCTCTGTCACATTTTTAAATCAGATTTTTCAGACCATCTATCCATTTTCTTCCCCTTTATCCATTTCTGGGTCAGGGGGGTGGCAGTCAGAGCTGCACCCAGTTCACATAGCACCGGTCCCTTACTGATCCTCCTGCAGATGGTGAGTCCTCAGGAGCCTTGAGTATTCAGCAGGGGCTTCAGGCAAAGTTTCTTGTCCAAGGACACAACGGCAGCAATCATCAGTGGGAGTCTTGAAGAAGGTCTTGTGGTGGGCTTGAACCCACGACCTTCCGGCTCTAAGGCCAATGCTCTACCAACTGAGCTACTGTCACCCCAATCTTTTTTTTGTTTTTTTTGTTTTTTTTCATATCATAAAGTGAAAAAGAAAAGACCACCATAAGCTATCAGCCCTAAAGGGTCAAATAGTGACTCACAGGGCTCTTTATTCAAAGTACGTACATGTTTTAAGAGGTGAATAAGACCATGTTGTTGTCTGATTTCTTCACAACACGTTACTTTTTCAAGAACCCCAGCTTTAACCATTGTTAGATCAAGCTCTTCATTCATCCCTAATGCCATCTGTTTGAATGGGAAGGTTTTATGCCTTAAAACGCCTCACTGAACATATTTTTTAAATCCTTGTCAATATGGGCAAGTACTGTTTTCAGGCTTTCTTCCATGCACCCACACCTCCCTATTCTCTCTCAAGGACAAACGTCTACATTGACCGATTGTTGCAGCACCTCTCTGCTACCTGCCTGTCTCTTGTGCGATAGACAGCCTTTGTACGACTCTATCCCGCTGCTGTAAGTCCCGGCTCAAACTCTCCATTTGGTTCAGTTTTTTTGGCGGAGCAGTGACTCAGGACAGTAGAGGGGATAGGGCTCTAGCGAGCGGGCTGAGCTGGGGCAGGTTGTGTGTTGGTGATAAGGGTGATCCCCGGTGGTGGGTGGAGCGTCCCGGGACAGATAACAGACCTCTGCAGAGAGCTGATACGGAGCGGCGGGACGGGGAAACCTGCAGCAGAACAGAGGCCCTTCTATTAAACCACCAGTAGTGAGAATGAGTCTGTGTAATGCCGTGTAATGACTGTTGCAGAAGCAGTAATGTGGATTTGACAAGATCCGTTTAAAAGCATGAATGACCAAGTTTCCCCTCTTTCCAAGAAATATTAATATTTTAGCGTTTACAATTCTATGTGATTTAGTGAATTCAATGTTCTTCATTCACATATACAGTGATTGTTTGACTGATACAGTGATTGGATTGATGATTGGATTGGATGGAGATGTCTGATTGTCTGAAAGTGACATAATATCACAATCAAGATTAAACTTTTTGATAACAAGAAGTTTTTTTTGCGTTCATTTGTAGTAGTGGCTTGCAATCTACCCGTTTTTAATTTAGTCCAATACACACGACTCTGCTTATATCTTTTGAAAACAAGCATATTCTCTTCCCGCCTTTCTTCGTCATGGCTACAATTGTCGTTTAGTTTTTCGTCACGTTGTGTCGTACTATGGGGTCTCCCGCCCCCTGCTCCTCGCGATAAGAGCACTATGCTGCACCCAGATACAGCTATCACAGCCGCGGCCGTTTGGACAGAACACACACAGAGGCTTCGCTCACAGGATGACCGCTGACACTTTCAAACACCAGGCAAAATGGAGATTAGGAGGTGTTCAGGGATATGACGGCCTGTTTTAGCTTTCACAAGAATTTTAGGATCAAAGATAAAAAATAAAAAAGGGCAAGAAAAAGCCCCAACATAGATAAAGAACAAATGCAAACTAGACATAATAATAAGCTTTGAATCAATGGACCACAAATGGGGTCAAAAAGTCAGAACCAATCCATTTACTGTTGTTCATTGGGGAAGGATTGCGCAAGGGATAGGCAGATGGATCAGTGATGCGGCCGCATTATCGGACACTTATGGTGAGAGGGAGCAGCGTCTGCAGTCAGAGCTGTATCGGACTGTTCTGGTATAACTACTGATGTACTTTGTGTTTGCTACATATTTATTATGTTGTATTGTAGGGGTGGGAACCTAAGGGTACCTCACGATACGATACGATACACGATACAAAGCTCACGATAACGATATTATCACGATAACGATATCACGATAACAATATCACGATAACGATATCACGATAACGATATCACGATAACGATTATCGATATATTGGTCAGAAATATACAATATGCCAATTTATGGCATAAATAAAAGAAAAAATACACTTTATATCATGATAAATGAAATGGAGATGCGTAATGTAGCCATATATTAAGTATTGATACCAATTTTTTTGAAAAATCGAATATATCGTCACACCCCTATTGTATTGTATTGTTGATTGTTGAGCATGTCAGCTGTCCTTGTAACAAAGGACCCCCTCAAATAGAGATGATCTGAATGGGGGTGTACTTAAATAATGAAATAAATAAAAGAGGGAGATGACTAATAAAGTCAAAGCTCTGGATTCACCGGCCATTTCACCTTCCCACCCTCACCTACGGTCATGAGCTTTGGGTAGTGACTGAAAAACAATATCCTGGGTATAAACGGTCACAATTAGTCTCTTAGAGCTTAATAACAGAGGAGGATCTCAGGGTAGAGCTGAGCTGGTCAGTAACATAATCTGGACACATTCATAGTTTAGAATCTAATTATATCATTTTGGCAACAGGAAATGAGCTCAAAGTGCAGAACTGCAAATATAATGGCTTTAAGAAAAAGTAAAACAAAATAGAATCCAGAGTAAAGACAAAAAGTAACCAAACAAAGACAGACGCCGAGAACTAAAACAGACGTGGAATGACAGTGACGGAACCGGGAGTGAAGAAACACACAGGGTTTTATACAAGACTAACGAGACACAGGTGATACACAGAGGTAATCAGGAAACAGGAAGTACAACTAAAGAAAACACAGGGGTTAACAAATGACAAAATAAAATCTAAACCATGACACATTTCCTAAGTGTGACCCTTTAACACTCATAGTTATTTGAACTTTTCTCCCTGTCCTTTCAGTTTCCCAGCTTCCTGCTGCCTCCCGCTCCTCATCGCTTCACCCTTCAGTGCTCTGAAGAGCTGCAGCCCTGGTCCTTGTGTCAATCATGGCTGCCGTGATGACCCCCACCACCACCGCCTCCGCCTCCACCACAGACTTCGACAACGTGGAGATTACGCAGCAATACAGTCAGATCAACTCTCGCTTCGAGCTTCCAGACAATGAGCTGGACAATGACAACAGCTCTGCGCGGCTCTTTGAACGCTCACGCATCAAAGCCCTGGCAGGTGAGTCGCCACGGTTTGAACAATCAATACTGACTTTTTCATATACTCCAATAGCCAATATCCCAACCTCTCAAGAATTTTATTTGATTCCCTTTTTGATAAAAAGGAAAGAATATCACAGTGTTTTAAACTTATGCAAGTCAAATATAGTACTGTAAATCCTTCAATCTCACCTTTTCATTCATATTTCATACTTTCAGTATTGAGTTTTTATCAAAACCCCTGGTATTCACGGCAACAATGGCAACAAAATTGTCCTCTGATAATAATAATAATAATAGTATAGCATAGATTTTAAGTGCTTTTCTGGACACTGAAAGATGATTCCCACACGGGATTATTCATTCACTCCAGTCCATACACTGGTGTGATTTTCAAAAATGAATTGAAACAATAAGTACATTTGCATCCAAATAACTGTTTGGAACTTTACAGCTGCACCCACCCCACTGTCGCACTGGGTGTTACCAGAGGTCTCCCATCACAGTGCCTACCAGCTTCTGTCCTGCTTAGACTCTGAAGTCTGACAGAATCAGGCTTTCCAAGTGGCATTTTTAATCTGTCTCTCATTAGTTGAGAGATCTAAACCAAACGATCTGGATTTATTTTAATTTTATTCTAACTCAATGTCTCACACTGTTAAACCCTGGCGTGATTTTGCCAAGTATTTGTGGGATTAGGTTGAAAATTATCTCCTCTGGGCCTTTGAGATGCTGAGGAGGGTGATGTTTCTACTTGTGAGGTAGTAACAGAGGGAAAGACGTTGGAAATATTGGCCTTGTAGTGGCGCCACCTGCTCTAAAGCTAAGCAGGGTAGTGCCTGGTTTGTGCTGTGATGGGAGAGCCTTAAAGTGCCAAACTGTTGCTGTGTCCTTAAGCAAGACACTTCACCTACATTTATAGAATGAGTCTGGTGTCATTGGCATGCACTGGTTGCCTCATTTCTGTCAGTGTGCCCTAGGGCAGCTGTGGCTACAGTGGTTGCTTAGAACCACAGAGTATGGAGTGAATAAACTATGACATGTGAAAAAAGTGTTATAATGGATTAATTTTAAAATGAGTACTTTTATCATTTTACAAGGATGATTGATGAGAGTGCATTTTTATGAATGGCGTTGGGGCTAGTTGGCTCTAAAGAGTGTTAAACCTCTATACCACACTGTGAGCAGGTTTAGAGTAGACCATCCCAAATCCCCTCTCCTTCCCCCTTCTGTAAATCTCATGTGCCCTCAGTGTATTTGTTTGTTGACTGCGTCCTCCTGTGAAGCAATCATTGATTTTACTACAAACCCTCCACATAAATATAGTACAGGTGTAGAGTTGCATATTTGTGTTTGCATGTTCCTCGTGCTCCTCTTAGCCGCAGCAGCTGAGCCAATGGGATCTAGTTTTACACATTCCCAAAATGCCCCCGTCCTGTCTGAGTGCTCTGGACAGCTGCCCCATCGCACACATCCCACGCATTTCATCCCTGAGCTCGTGAGCCTCGGCCCCACCTGTGGAACAACTTTAAAATAGCAGCGTTTCTGTCCGGAGTGAGAGGGAAGAGGTCATAACATTTAGTATTGGACACACAAGAGAAACATGCACAAAATAATTATTGTAGTCAATAAGGAAAAAGCTTTTGGTGACTGATGGTTCATTTAAAGCTGGGGTACCCACATTCAAACTTGGGCTGGGTTTTTCTCAGAGCCTGCTGCACCGGCATATCTCATTTAGCAGAACTCCAAACTCAAACCACAACAAAACAGAGACAAGAACACATAGGACCAACCATAAGAAGAGAGGAGCACAGGGTTTAATACACACAGGGAGACACAGGTGAAACGCTTTGTGACTCCTGTGAAAGGCGCTATGTAAATAAAGAATACTTACTTACTTAGACATGAAGTAACACTGAATCAAAATCAAACCAGATCAAAGTAACGGAAAAATTCCACACCAATACAATGGATGCATTTACATTTCATTAATTAAAGATTAATAGTCAAAATATCAAAACAAAGCAAAACAAATTGTATCTAATTTTGAATAATCAATGTGTCTTATAATAGGTTTTTTTTGCACATCCCTTTTTCTAACCATAACAAATGTGTAAGTAATAACGTTTATGTAACTAGTTTTGTCCTCTGTCACAGATATTTTTCAGACCTGTGTCTTGTAGATATCTGATAGCGTTAACAGGGACTTGGCAAATGCCTATTGTCGTGACTCTTGTGGTGTCTTATTTATATACATATCTAATGCCCTTATTTGATCATGCTGCATGGATTCGAATGACTTCGAAAGGCACAATTTATCTGCTTGAGTTTTGTTGCAAAGTGTAAAGAAAAAAAAATCTATTTGAGGGTGTGCAATAACATTATCTGATATTACACAGTTTTTAGTTATTTAGAAATCCATTTCATGTCCATGGGCTTAATTAAGCTATCAACAAAGTCACAAAACACTTTAGCAACACATTATGACTGTTGATATGTTGTATGAGATTGCTTAATTCCAATAACTTTATGAGCATAAACGATAAGCTCTTTATTATCATATATACTAACTTGAAGGTACTTGGTTTTTCTTTTTCTGATACTTGCTGGAGTTGGCTCACTTTGCAATCGTTCATTAACGTCACTTGTATAAAAGCTTGTTTCTCATTCAAGGCACTCAAAGCACTTTACATCAAGGACTCACTCTCCTATTCACAACACACGAGGCAGACGTCAGTGTATGCCAAGACAGGGAGGAAAGGTGGTTATAGCTGGAATACCAACACTTTCAAGCCACAAAACAATGACCATCTCTCAAAACAGTTTCTTTCTCTCACTAGTCTCTCGCTAGTTTTCACATGCATGCAATTTTTTAGCTGTAAAATTGCAGAGAAATTAGCTTTAAACAATGACCAGAAATCTGACTTTTGGCAGTTACAACAGTATCTGCAAAAGCAGAACATTGTGGTCTGTTTTGTTCACAAAATTGTACTTATACAGAACTCTTTCTCCATCCATCCATTTATTACCCCTTAATTCATTTCTGGGTTGGGGGGGTGGCCAGAGATGCCACCCATTACACATAGCACCACTCTTTCTATTGGGCCAAAATGTATTCATTAAGAATAAAAACGTTGGTACCCCATATTTGTATACTGAACGTTCTTTAGGATCCTGGTAGATCCCCTTCCAACTTCCCATTAAACTAACCCAACATAACAGTATTCATCCCAGTGTATAAATATCTGTAACAACCTCCCACTTTAAATTACAATTCAGAAAACATCATGATCCTTTCCCAGAATAGAAAAAGCCTTCTTTGTCTCTCTTTCTGTCTGCATGAAAGGGCTACAGTCATTTTCAGTCTACTTATCCTCCGCTGTCTCTTTAAGTGATGAGAGCTGGTGTGTGTGTGTGTGTGTGTGAGTGTGTGTGTGTGCGTGCGAGGGGGTGTCTATGTTATTGTGCCTGAGTGCTGCTGCTGCTGCTGTGCTGATGTTTCGCTAATGCAATTTGGGTTTCCTGTCAGGCAGCGCAACAAGGGAGGAAAGTAGAGAGGAGAAATGGTAGAGGATAGGATTGTAGTTTTTGTCAATACAGGTGTTTTTGGATGTCTGCATTGGACTTCCTTTGGCTGGAGTCAGAGGATTTGTGTCAGGTGCAAGCTTGCTGTGATGTAACTAGAAGTGGGAGTAGCCAAATTGGAGCGTTGGAATATACTGTATGCATGCATGAGGCAAAGAAGCAGGTCGGAAGTGAATTGTCGACATCATTACGCAGGAGACGAGAGGAAAAGAAGGAGTGGGGGGGGCAGCCTGTGAGCCAGTGTAGAGCAAGACAGAGAACAAGAAGACTGTGCAAAAGCTGTTTGTCGTGGACTTTTTTGTTGTTTTGATTTTCAATTCTTGTAAGTCGCCAGCATGAGCAGTCCATGTTTAATGCGTGCCACTCCAATCAGCCAACCCGCCCGGCTACGAGAGGTCAAGATAAGTCTGAGGGCCAGGGAGAACGTGGCGGTCCGCAAGAGCAGCAGCAGCGGATCTTCAAGTTATCATCAAAGTTTCGAGAAGGAACCCACAGCTTTGAAAGTCAGCGTCGGGACCAGCCGGAGTAAGAGCACCCCTCCTGTCCACAAACCGAGCAAGAAGACACCACGAGGGAAAGAACCGGTGCAAAACTTAGACCGAAACGGGACTTTGCTCCACGTTCCAGCTTCGAGCTCCTTTCCGGGACAGTCTGCTTTGTCAACATCATCCTCTTCATCTTCGTCATGCACTCCCAGACGCCCACGGGACCCTCGCCCCCCACAGCAACAGCAGCACCCACGGCAGACCCCCCTCCTAACCTCATCTTCCTCCTCTTCCACTTCGTTGTCGGCCCGGGGAATGAAATGGTCCCGCTGGCTCAGCTACAGCACTTCCAACCTCAGTTACAACTCCATACTTGACGGGCGCTTTCGACAACTGCAAGGTACGGCTATAGCCCAGTGCGGAAAGTCGTGTGGAACATTTGGGAATGCTGTTTTTGTGTGTATGTTTTGGGCGATAAGTTGGAGTGTGGTGTTGTGGTTCCAGTGCTGAAGGAGTGTATTGCTATTGAAGGCAGTTTGGCGCTCGCCCAGGGATCAATACTAGGTCGAAGTGCGCAGTGATCTACTGTGGTTGCGGATGTTTGCACTGAAGCCGATTCCGTGACTAAATACTCTTTGCCGTACGTTAGATACAGCCGGGGTCAGATTCAAGTCACCAGTCAACTCTTTCAATGGTAGAAGTGAATGAAGACAAGAGCGAGCGCTGGAGATGCTCTCTGTGTTTGAAGTAAGGGAAGACTTTGTTTCATCAGTTTTATTGATTTTTCACTAACAATACAACAAATAACATAAAATAATCCAACATTTGAAATTGATCTTTTACTGTACGTTCTCTATTGACACTATAGTATAATACATGGCAGTCTAACTAAAAGTAATAACATGCTTGAATCAGCTTACATCTATGTTGAATTCAGCCAATTTTGGTA